ACCATTTACAGCCTGACATTATTTTGTGAAAACAGATCCTGACAAAGCCCTCTACAGAAAGAGCCATGGATCTACCTCTGGTCAGAAGTTAGGGAATAGCAGGCATAGTCGTGGTGAGGGCCATGATTCTCTACAGGATGGGTTAGTTGGAAATGAACCCCAAGTTCAAAGCCAGTGGTCTCTTCTTTTCCCAAAGGTGGAAGACGGAAAGGGGCCTACCAGAATCACAAGGGAAGCTTCCTTAACATATAATATCCTATCTACAGGAAGCCACTCCAGGCCACAGAATGCTGGTTTTGTCTTTTACCACACTAAACACTGTGCCCCCTCCTTTTCTTTTTCAAATGCAATTTTATCAGGGAAAACATAAACTAGAAGGCAGTGAAGGCCACAGAACTATCACCATCTTGGCTAATCCCATCTCAACCACTACCGTGGAGCCTGGCCACATTTTAGCCTGGACTTTTTTTTAAAGTATGTGTAACCAAACACTTATTTCAACCATTAAAAAAAATCTTGAGGAAGTTCCTGTAGAATGTCTAGCTTTGAGCAATTTAACTTCCCGGTATGCTCTCCAAAGCAAACCTAATGTAAAATGTATGAGAGAGTTGCTAGGTGAGGTAACCAGCCACATGGAGTTATTAATTAAAGACCTGCTTTAAAAAAAAAAAAAAACTAATAATAGTGACGTTTGTAAAAATAGTTGCTTTGCTGCCCTTCCTTTGGGAATTAATGAGTTATCAGATACCAGTCAAGTCCATCCAGTTCTATTTTAGGGTAAGAAAATTTTTTCATCTGTTAAGAAAATGTTTGTCTTTCAATTGCCTTGGAAACACCTAATCTAAAAGAGTCCCAGTCAAACAACACTGTGTTGAAAAGAGAGAGAGTGGGGACAGATTATTGTCCTTGCTCTTTCCATCAGTTACATCCAGAGTTGCTTTCACTGGTATGATGCGATATGACACTGTCTGTTCAGATCAGTGGGTTCTACTCAAACCACTGTCAAAAAGACCCAGGCAGGGCTGTTTCAATTCCCTGCATGTCCCAGGCTGTCATCATTTTGGAAGGACACGATCTGCTCACATCAAATACATTAAGATGCACCCAACATCCTATGTTAGATTGCTTCTGTTTACGTATTTAAAATGAATTGTATAACTTTGCTGTTGAAATCTTTTTTTTTTTTTTTTAGATTTTATTTTTTCATGAGAGACACACACAGAGAGGCAGAGACATAGGCAGAAGGAGAAACAGGCTCCCTCCCCTGCAGGGAGCCTGATGTGGGATTTGATCCCAGGACCCCAGGATCACGCCCTGAGCCAAAGGCAGACGCTCAACCACTGAGCCACCTAGCTTTCTCTCTCTCTCTCTCTCTTTCTTTTTTACTTTTTACTTTTTTAAAATTTAAATTCAATTTGCCAAAATATAATGCCCAGTGCTCATCCCATCAAGTGCCCTCCTCAGTACCTGCCACCTAGTTACCCTATCCTCCCCGCGCACCTCCCCTTCGGCAACTCTTTGTTTCCTGGAGTTAGTAATCTCTCACAATTTATCTCCCTCTCTAACTTTTCCCACTCAGTTCCTCTTCTTTCCCTTATAATCCCCATATTTTCTTTTTGAATGCACAGTCTGGGATCTGAGCACCTCTTTACAGGTCTCAAGCATTTTCAAGACCCTTGAAAATCTTGTTGACCCCATGCACTGTTGTCCTCTCTAGTGCTCGCGGGGTACACCAGCCCTGGTCTATGAAGCCTATCACGGAGTTTACTGTGAGGGAAATGTTGAGAACAGTGTCTGTCCCATTAAGGAATGTGGAGGATTCAAGGAGAAAATGTCTCTCTAGTGCTGGTATCAAGAGCAGTTGTACCCACGCTGTTGTTTTGCACCTTGCAAGCTCATGAGTCAGACAGGTGGCCTGCGTGCAGGTGACTCTTTCTTCACACTAATTACCACAAAGCTTAGAAAACATGTGTGCCATTTTGTGCTCTAAACTCACAGATCCATCTCATATTTCCTACCTTAAATTTCTCTTTACCTCATTTCTTCCCATTCATTTTAAATTTACTTTATCTAGCTAATTAATTCTATGTAAGCTTCCTTATACCCTTTTTTGGACTGAGGCAGGATATAAATAAATACATAAATAGAATTATTTTTCTCCTAAAACTGCCTTTGTTCCACATTTTCAATGTATGATGATCCTTCTGTTTAAATGATAGTTAACATTTACTGAGTACTGAGCATTTACTGCTCAGCCAGTAGCACTATGTGAAGCACTTCAGATGGATTACTTCATTAAGTCATCATAACAAGTCATGAGATAGATCCTATTCCTTTTCAGATAAAGAACCTGACGTATAAAGTATCTTGCCAGGGCCACTCAGCCAAGAAGAGGTGGGCTGGAATTCCACCCCAGGCTGGCTTCATGGCCACCCACCCGCCCCAGCTGGAAACCTTCACTCAGGATGCCACTCCCTGGGTTCCCTTCTGTTGATTTAGCCAGCTAAATGCCTCTTGATTCTGTCTCTATCCTCAGTCCAGCTCTTTATTTCAGGGCTCCTTTGATCTCTGGCTGGGTTTTTTTTTTTTTTTTTTTTAAGTAAGCTCTAAACTCAACGTGGTGCTGGAACTCACAATGCTGAGATCAAGAGCTACATGCTCTACCAATTGAGCCAGCCAGGTGCCCCATCTGGCTGGGATTTTTGCAACAGCTTCTTAGCGGATCTCCCTGAATCCAGGCCTGCTCTCCATGGATCTATCCTCCAGTGTTTCTGAAATATAAAGGTGTCTACATGTACAAGTTCCTTATAAGGTGCCCCAGTTGTAAGAGAGAATCCAGTTTGTTTAGTCCGCCATTCAGGACCATTTACAATAGTCAAACCAGACACACCATGAATCTACCCCGTACTCCCAAGATGGTGATTCCTCTTCAGTCAAGGGGCACACATTCGTGCTTCAGAGGTCTTGCACACACTGATCCTGTCTCCTGTGCCTAGTAGACCACACAGATTTCAAGTTTCAGGTCAAAATGCCTTCCTTATCGAGTCCCACATTAGGCTCCCCACCGGGAACCTGCTTCTACCTCTGCCTATGTTTCTGCCTCTCTGTGCCTCTCATGAATAAAGAAATAAAATCTTAAAAAAAAATGCCTTCCTTATCGTGAAATGTTCACTGAACCCCCTCATCCCCAAACCTCCTCCATGATTTTCCCATTCTTTGTCAAGACTTTCTCACCACACTTATGTCATCACGCTGTCATTATTTTTTGGTCTCTCTCCCTCACTGGACCCTGAGCTTCTTGAGGACAGGGACTCTGTTGCCTTACCCACTGCAGACCTCCCTCCCATACCAAATGCCCAGTACGTAGCAGTAGCTGAACATTTGACCAAGTGGCAGGTCTAAACCAGATGTGGGTACATCACCTGCAGATTAGCCTTCTTAAAGCACTTCTGCCCCCAACCCTCCAACCCAAGAATATAGGACCACCACTAATTTGTACTTTGGGACAAATTAGAAAAAAAAAAATGCCTCCACTGGGCTAATGTATTCCAATAAGACTCCCTTACCCTGAGCTTACACACGGTTTCCACATCCTTCCACATAGTGTCAAATGAGCAAGGATTTCTACCTCACTCTCTTGACCAGGCCAGTTCTTGTGCAAGAAGAGAGTGCACTTATCTATACAAGGCAGCCCTGCATGCACACAGACAATTCCCTTGCCCTGTGTGTGCTGTTCCATTTATTAGAAAGGCCATCAGCTCCCATCTGTGTAGGCAGACTTTAATACCCAGTCCAAATGTCATCTCCTCTGTGAGTGTTTCCCTTGTGCCTCTCAGGCAGATTTAACCTCCCCGCCCCCCCTCTGTCTCTCTCGTATTCCCACAACCGCAGAAGATATCCATGTTTGAGTGTTACCATGCTGCACCACACATCTTTCCTTATTGCTGATTTCATTGCTGGACCATTAGGATCACGTTAGGCACCATTGGGTCCCATATGCCTATGAAGATGCCTTTCAGATAAATGGGGGATGTGCAATAAATGTTACTATTGGGGCACCTGGGTGGCTCAGTGATTGAGCATCTGCCTTTGGCTCATGTCTTGATCCTGGGGTCCTGGGATCAAGTCCCTCATTGGGCTCCCTACAGGGAGCCTGCTTCTCCCTCTGCCTATGTCTCTGTCTCTCTCTGTGTGTTTCTCATGAATAAATAAAAAAAATCTTTACAAATATAAATAAATGTTACTATTTGGTTCAAAGTCTTCACACAGCCTTTCTTTTGCCTCCTGATTGTTTCAAACTCCCCAGGCTGGCACACCAGTCTGTCAGTCTCATGGCTGGCCAGTCACCTCTCTGTATCCCCCTCCTCAGGTCCCCTCTGAGCATCTGGGCTGCAGCAGATTCACAGGGGACTCCCAAGCACCCCTGACCTCTGGACCTTTACTCATCTGTCCCTCCTGTCTCTAGTGCCCTCCTCTCCTCTATGCCTGTCAAAATTCTATTCATCTTCAAGGCCCAACTCAAGCACCATGTTTGTCACGAAGCATCCCATCAGCAGAAGGTGGCTTCCTGCTGCTAGGAACCAAAGCCCTTTGTCCTTCTGGAGTCATTCCTCAAACATTGCTCTGTGTTTTAATGATATATGTCTATAACGAAAGCACTTCGAGGGCAGGGATTCATTGCACGGGGTAGGTGTCAGCAAATGCTGTGCTACAGAGAAGAAAGAATCCAGCGCTACATTGGCAGATGAAAGAGGCAGCAAACTCAACTTCAAGGACCTGGCAGGACACAAAACTCCTCTCCTGTCCCCTCTTTCATCAGTAGGGATAACACGTGAACTCTAGGCAGAACTGCATAAATGGCCCCTCCCTCCTGCCCCCCCCCTCCGCCCCGAGCCTACATAGTTCAGCTTGCCTTCTAAAGAGGTGAGAGTGAGGAGTGACAGCTGGTTTCTTTCGCTCCACCCCTTCTCTTTTCCCCCAAACACAGACCAGAAATTCACCTCTGACAGCACTGCTTTCAAGCTCCCGCAGGACACGGCACACACAGGACACATGGCACGCAGCCCTCGGCACACCTCTGCATGGATGGTGCAGACAGATGCCTCCCTCTCCAGCATGAAGCGCCTCACCTCTGTGCTCCGGGCCGCCCTGGCCCTCGGCCTGCTCTTTGCCTCCTTCCACTTGGCTTGCTTGGCAGGTAGAACTGTGAGCTTTATTCTTGGCCACGCTGGGAAGAAGAGGGGAGGGAGAGAAGAGGTGGAGGAGGGGGGGAGGAAGGGGAGGGATGAGAAGGGGGGAAGAAGGGTGGGGGAAGGGAGGAAGGGAGGAAGGAGGATTCTTGGGCTAGGGTTGGTCCCACACAAAGCGAAGAGCAAACAGTTTTTTCTCACCTGAAGGATTAGGCAGGAGGTGGTAGGTTGGGCTGGGGGTGTTTTACGTTTACCTAAGACCTAAGACCACGATCAAATACTGAACTCCTCAGCTAGGACAGGATTAGCCGCCTCTACTGGACTTTGCCACAAAGCAACAGGAAAAATGTGATGTACTGACAGTCTCTCCCATCAAGAGACCAAAATTGGCCTAAAATGACATTTTAATGGGCGCTGTGTCTCCACTGCTCCTTCTCAGGGCCCCTGGCTATTGTGATTTGCAATTGCCCCTTTGTACTCTGTTCCTCACCTGAGGTCCTCTGGTCCCTCCGTTGATCCCGTGCTCCCTTTGCAACTTCCATAAAACCCTAAGGCACAAAACCTGCCAAATGCTGTTGATGATTCTCCCACCTTCCCCAGCACAAGAGACGTGGAGTTATTACCCTGTGTGCTCATGGACGCTAGGAGGGTTGAGTAGCAGCCCCTGTCTTACTCTCTCAGGCTGGGCTCTCCCCCTGCAGAGAGAACTCCCTCATATTCTTATGCTCCTGGCTTTGGCCTCTGGCCTTATATTTTTTAAGATTTTTAATTTATTTATTCATAAGAGACACATAGAGAGAGGCAGAGACACAGGCAGAGGGAGAAGCAGGCTCCCCGCAGGGATGGAGTCCCAGGACCCCAGGATCACAACTTGAGCCAAAGGCAGATGCTCAGCCACTGAGCACCCAGGTTCCCTGGCCTCTGGCTTTGATCTTGCCCCCGCAGCTCCTGCCCTGCCCTTGACAGATTTCCCTCTCTCAAAACTGAGCCTCAAGGACCCCTCAGGGCTGTGCCTGTCTCCCTTGTCCTCACCACCCTCCTTTGGAGTTTCAGAGTATGAGCTCTAGCCACTCAGCCTCAACTCAATTCTGGCTTCCACAACTTACTAGCTGTGTGACGTTGAGCAAATCACTTAATGTCTCTGTGCCCCAGTTTTCTCATTTATACGGTGGGGATAATCACAGCGCTTACATATAGGGTTGTCATAAAGATGAAAGGAGACTACCACATATAAAGAACTGTTAGTAAATTAGCACAGGGTAAACACTCAATGAATGTTAGCATGTTTGTTTTATTTTCCCATACCCCTCCCTAAATAAGTATTTTATTTTTTTCATTTGTTTACCCTCACAGTGACTTGTTTATGATAGGCTCTCAAAAAACCTGACAAATTTAACTGCACTTAATTATTAGCACCCTGTACTTTGGAAGTGACCCCAAGCTGGACTAGTCTCTGTCCGGCTATGCTTACGAGGGTGGAGGCTGAGGCTTAACTTCTTAGAAATTAATAACTAGACTATTCAGTTCGAACCATATAAAATTACCAATATTGACAAATTTTTTGACCTATCAAATGGCAATTTCAGATGGCTTAACCTAACACCAGCATCTGGTTAACTAGGTTTTTTTCCATTCACTTGGTCCAAATGGGGACCACTTCCATTCTAGGGCAGAGGGGAGATGAAAGTCAAGGCCAAGGAAGTTAGTTGGGTTAAAAAGGAAAATTAAATGTTGAGGAATCAATTATTCCAAAACAAATAAAGACCAAGTTCTAAGCCATTTAGCTGTAAATAATTTACAGTAACAATCAGATTGTGTCAAGGTAATTACTATACCCCAGGCAGGACATTGGAGAGGCTGGGGAGCGCGGGGGGGGGGGGGGGGGGGTGGCATAAAATCACTCTAAGCAGCAACTTCATGGCTTTGGCTAAACAAGAAGTTTCCTCCTGACTTGTCCTGCTACCTGACAACAAGCTCCTTTGAAGGACACACTGACCTAGGGTCAGTGGAGCCTTGAGAGTTTCTAAACCACTTTTTTTTTTCATCCTCAAAGGAAGCGGAACAGCAATATAATTAATTTCCAGAACAATTCTTTAAAATTGGCTTCTTGGTCTTGATCTACCAAGATGAATGCCATCTAACAAAAATTTTTTGGTGATGGAAGTTGTGGGGTGTCCCGATTAGGTGAGGGCCAGCGGTACCGATGGTGAGAGAATTTACTCAGGGCAGAATAAAGGAGATAGAAATTTATTGAATACACTGCAAGGGAGCAGCAGGCAGGACAGGAGAGGAGGGACTGTCTGCTTCAAGGAGGTGGTAAGGGGCTAAAGTTATAGGGCAGAGCGAGGGAGCGTGGGGAATGTCCTGTTTTGGTAATCTGAGGAGCTATGCCTGTTGTAATTGGTCAGTTAGGGTTCATGACTATTCCCGAGGTGGGTCGCTTAATGAGCCTGTTTGCATTTCAGCTAGGGGGTGCTGGGGGCCCTTGTGCCTCCTGCAAGTTTCCATTGTTCACACCTGTTGCCTAAAAGCAGCCTCTACAGAAATGTTCCATTTCTGTGCTATGCTTCCAATATGGCAGCATTTCAGAATGTAGTGATCCAGTGTGGTAACCTAGCCCTTGAATTGTGGCTAATACTACCAGGAAGTTGCATTTTTTTATTTCATTTTAATAAATTTGAAGAGCCACATGTAATTGCCATATTGGACAGAATAGACCTGGATCATCCATCTGCTCATTCTCAGTTATGAGAGGGAAGGTAGATGATGGTTTTTTGGAATTGAGAATCTTTATGTTCATCTCTGTAGCCCCCCCTCACCTCCACACTCTGACAGAACTTTGAGAATTCCCACTGAAGTTCTTTTTATCTTTGCGCTCCTTATTTATTGATCAAGAGACAATTCTAATGGTTGCAAATTCTACCCATCTCTGGATTTGGTGGTATAGCATTTAATTTTTTTGATAACCATCTGCCTGAGTAATACCATCATAATCACCAGAAGTAAAGAATCAAAGTCAGATTTCAACATTCATTTGTTCAAGTTTTTGAAGGGAATTGAAAGTAGTTAGGAGAAGACATTTGAGATTGTTAAGTGTTTAATATATAGGAGAAAAACCATTTCTAGATGGAGCTATTTGCATAGGAAACAGCTAAAATAGAGTGTTTGGAAAGCTCTTGGCAGCAGGCCCTTGGCCACTGAAGGATGAGATATGAAGGAGATGAAGTGTGAAGCTGTGAGTCAATGAGACATGCAGGTAAGCGTCTCTGAATGATAATAATGAAAGGAAAAGGGAAGTGTATTCTTTTGCTGCCATAAAAACATACCACAGACTGGGTGGCTAAAACAACAGAAACTTATTTTCTGACAGTTCTGGAGACTCCAGGTGTCAGCAGGTGTGTCTTCTCCTGAGGCCTCTCTCCTTGGCTCACAGATGTCCACCTTCTCACTGTGACCTCACCTAGTCTTTTCTCTGTGCAGGTGCCTCCCTAGTGTCTTCCCTTTCTCTCAAGGACACTAGTCATATTGGATGAGGACCCACCCATATGACTCCATTTAATCTTGATTTAACCTCTTTAAAGGCTCTTTCTCCAAATACAATCACTACTGTGGGTTAGGACTTCAATGAATGTGGTGGGGACAGTTTGGCCCATAACAGAGGGTTAGCCTTATTACATGACGTCTTAAAGCACCTAGACTGGAACTTCTATAATCCTTGGTGTACTATCACCACTAACTGACAAAAAAGATTTCACTCTGTGCCTGGGAATGGATTCCCCTACTGCCTGAGACCATCTTCTGTCTTTCCTTCCAGAAGCGAGGAACAGTGACAACTCAACCCTGACCACCCATCACCCAGACCCTGGAACCCTGGAGCAGTGCCCCAGTAAGCATCTCCTGACAACTGCCCTAAACCCAGAGCTGGCCCTGGATCTGGGAGGGACACTTAAGCCTGCTTGCTTTCTGTTGATTGGGGTCCAGTCTTGGAGTGCCAGCCTGACCTTCCTGTGCACTGGTATGGTCTGTTTGTCACCCCCAGAACTGCTTGCATAGCATATCTTAAAAGCTATCTCAGCCTTGACCCTGATGTCGGCTCACAATCTTTGGTACAGGTGACTTGAACGACCCATCCACAGGATGGCAGCCAAACATGCATTAGAAACTTAGAAGGGGGGACGCCTGGGTGGCTCAGTGGTTGAGCATCTGCCTTGGGCTCAGGGCGTGATCCTGGGGTCCTGGGGTCGAGTCCCACATTGGACTCCCTGCATGGAGCCTGCTTCTCCCTCTGCCTATGTGTCTCTGCCTCTCTCTCTGTGTCTCTCATGAATAAATAAATAAAATCTTAAAAAAAAAAAAGCTACCAGTCAAGTCCAACTTCTGCCCAATGTAGGAGCTTTGTTCTGGGTACCCTTTGCCTATTTCTGTCCATCCTCTCCCTGAATACTCCTAAGGGCAAGAAGGCAGTACTTCCTAAAGCAGCAAGCATTGTTTCCACACATCCAATTAACAGAAAGTTTTGCTTTCTTCTATGTCTGGCTCCCTTTACTGCTGCCCTCCCTGAATAACCGTGCATTCACTTCTGGGTATTTCCAAAGCCCCCATAATAGGGCAGTGACTCGTGGAGGTTGAGTGTGGGGCTTTGGATTCCTTGAGACCTGGGTTCAAGTTCTCGCTCTGCCATCTGGTGCCCCCTCTTGGGCGAGTCACAGCGTGGGCTCCTTCCGGGGAGATGGGAGTAGTTAAGTGAGGCCTCCCACCCTGCGAGGGATGAATAAGGGGACGGGCATGGAGCAGGTGACACCTGTGCAGTGTGCTTTAGCGAGCATGAGCTCTGGTCTCATTCCTTACCTGGGGGGGGGGGCGGCGGAGGGGGCAGGGGGCGATGCACCGCGGTGTCCTTGCTGTCCCTTCCTCGGCAGACGTGGACTTCTGTCCCCAAGCGGCTCGCTGCTGCCACCCCGGCGTGGATGAGTATGGCTGGATCGCCGCGGCAGTCGGATGGAGCTTGTGGTTCCTCACCCTCATCCTGCTCTGTGTGGACAAGCTGCTGAAGCTCAGCCCGGAGGAGCCCAAGGATCTGCAAGCCTGAGGCCCCAGGGCAGCGGCCCCAGGGTGTCAGTGGCCACCCAACCCCAGGGAATCATTTCACCTTTGGGGGAGGTGTCAGTTTTCTAAGTAGGGAATGTCAGAATTGGACACATCAGTGGTTACAAACTCCACTACAAAAGCCTAGAAGGCCAGCTGGGGTGCTGCAGGGAAGGGGTGGGCATGAGGCCCATCCTTGTGACCACAGCAGCATGGCTTCTATATACCACTTCTATATACCAGACCTCTGCAGTAAGATTCCATTTGCTCCCTTTTTATTATTATTATTATTTTATTTAGAGAGAGAGTGCCAGCGGGGGGTGAGGGGGGGCAGAGGGAGAGAGAATCTCAAGCAGACTCCCCGCTGAGCATGGAGCCTGATTTGAGGCTCCATCTCTCAGCCTTGAGGTCATGACCTACCTGAGCTGAAATCAGGGGGGAGGGGTGGGGAGCGGTGCCCACGTGCCCATGCGGTTTCGGCCACCTCTGAGTTGTCCCTTCTGTGCAGCGATGGTGTTGAGAAGAGACGCGAGATGGAAAGGAGGGTCTGAGGGAGCAGGGCCAGGGCTGCCCCACACCCAAGTCCACGAGGGTCCTCCTCTTGGGCGCTGACAATCAATCCCCTATCTCGGTGTGTGAGGCCTGCTTCCCTGCTGCGCCCCAAGGCAGGTGCCCAAGAAACACCTGGCTTTGGCTTTTGTCCGCAGGCTCTTTGCTCCTAAGCTCAGAACCCTCTCACCTGTCCCCCATCCCTCACCCCAGCCAAGGGCTTCCCTGGCATCTCAAAAAGGAGTCGCCTTCATCCTCACCTGCCACCCCTCGCCCGGGAGCATCGCTTCTCTCGCCCCTGTTCCCTGTCCAGCATCCTCCTCCGTGGCCGCCCTGCCCGACGGTACCCAACCCGGCACCTGGTCCAGACCCTCCTACATCGCCCCCCCCCCCGCCCCGCCTGCTGTCCCCAGGACGCCCACTGCCTTCCCAGGGACAAGGGCTGCGCTCCAGGGACCCAGTCCCGTCCCACGTCTTCCACCGCCCGCCGCCTTCCAGCTCCGCCTGCACACTGCAGGCCATGCCTCAAAGTCCAGCCCCAGGGCCTATTCTACTCACAGCCTTCCCAGACAGCCTTGGGGGCCCCGCGGCTGGTGCTTTTAGGGGTGCTTCTGCTCCCTCCTGAAGCGCAGCCTTCATGAACATACATACCGTCAGTGTGTTTCCTCTTGCTCCTGGGGATGGAGAGCTCCTGGCGATGTTCATCGCACAAATGAATGCATGAACTAACAGACGAGGCCTGGCCCTGGATGTACTTATGAGTATCGTTCAGCATACAGAGCTTCCATTTTAGGGGCGCCTGTGGGGGGCTCCATGGGTTGAGCATCTGCATTTAACTCATGTCATGATCCCCGGGTTCTGGGATGGAGGCCCTCATCCACGGTCCCTGCTCAGCGGGGAGTCTGCTTCTCCCTCTGCCTCTGCCTGCTGCTCCCCCTGCTTGTGCACTCTGTCAAATAAATAAAATTCAAAAAAAAAGGAAGAAGAAGAAAGAAGAAGAAGAAGAAGAAGAACTACTTCCATTTTTCTATAAATGGTTGAAATAACCAGTCTCCACAGAAGCCAGCTGGTTTGGCTCCTGCTCATCCTGCACACGGATGTTGCTGGTCGCCCTGAACATGGCCAGGAGGGTCAGGTGGAGGGGAAGTGGATTCATCTGAAGGAAGAAAGGACAAAATGACTCTCCTTACGAGATCATTGCTGCCCTTTGTGAGGAAACATGGATTTAGGTTGGACAACCAAATAAACATAACACAAGAAAAGAGGCCCCTGAAGTAGGAAGAAGTGTTTCCTAGAGATGGCAGGTGATTCAGAGCTGCCACAGGTTTTTGTTTTGTTTATTCATGAGAGACCCAGAGAGAGAGAGGCAGAGACACAGGCAGAGGGAGAAGCAGACTCCATGCAGGGAGCCCGATGTGGGACTCGACCCCAGGACCCCAGGATCACGCCCTGGGCCAAAGGTGGCACTAAACCACCGAGCCACCAGGGCTGCCCTACTGCCACTGGCTCTTCCAGAAAATCTACCTATGTTTCCCAATGAGAACTGAAGGCAGTGCCTGGCTCAGTCTGTTGTTTCCTCAATCTCCATTGTTTAATCAAGAAAATGGGTAGATTTACTGTGCCCCCATGTTAAGCAATCGTGTGAACAAGTGTCTGCGTGACGCCCCATGTGATGCTACGATCACACATAACTTAGTGTTTCGCTTTTTTTTAAACACCAAGGAAAGAGTTTCCACAATATGTGATGGTCGAACTCCTTAGAGATGGAAAGATTCAGTAAGGACCCTCTTGGATTTAACATGTGCAAGCATTTTTGAAATAAAACAGTGTGACCTCGTGGTGAGAGCACTAACTCCGAAAAGCAATAGAGAGAACAATGAAGACTGATTTCTGGCCAGAGTGAACCGCACCGAATCATTTCACCTTGGCGAGGGGGGTGGGGGTAAGTTTTCTAAGTAGGGAATGTTGGAGTTGGACACATCAGTGGTTGCAAACTCCACTACGAAAGCCTAGAAGGCAAAAAAAAAAAAAACCTAGAAGGCTAGCCGGGGTGTTGCAGGGAAGGGGTGGGCATGAGGCCTGTCCTTGTGACCATAGCAGCTTGGCTCTTACCACTTCTATATACCAGACCTCTGCAGTAAGATTCCATTTGCTCCCTTTTTATTATTATTTTATTTAGAGAGAGAGTGCCAGCGGGGGGTGAGGGAGGGGCAGGGGGAGAGAGAATCTCAAGCAGACTCCCCGCTGAGCATGAAGCTTGATGTGAGGCTCAATCTCTCAGCCTTGAGGTCATGACCTGAGCTAAAATCAAAACTGAGACACTAAACCAACTGAGCCATTCAGGCACCCCTCATCTGCTGCTTTAGAAGCAGGAAGCTGGAACTCCAGGTGGTGCCTGACATCCCTTCTGGTCTGGGCAAAGTGTAGGTACTTACATTAGAAGTGAATAATGTGTAGTTGCTGCCACTGCCACATTCAAATTCAGGCGTGTTGTAAATTGTCTTTCTTTCATCTGTACAAGAAGGACAGACCAAATCCAAATAATCGTTCTTTTCTTTGAGACTAGACAGAAAGACAAGTTATACAATTTGATGGTTATACTTTCCAGGTGCTTTATCTCAGATCATCCTTCACCATGGGATGTCTCTTTATTCTATCAAAGCAAAGATTTGTCAATAAATTAAAAAGGAAAACCTGAAGGGGAAAACCAAGTATCACCTTCCAGGGATCTAAGAACTCCCTGGTATAAATAGCAGGACCTGCCTAACAGTAGATGTGCTTTTCATTTAAGATTTTTGCTTCTAGGGGATCCCTGGGTGGCGCAGCGGTTTGGCGCCTGCCTTTGGCACAGGGCGCGATCCTGGAGACCCGGGATCGAATCCCACGTCGGGCTCCCGATGCATGGAGCCTGCTTCTCCCTCTGCCTGTGTCTCTGCCTCTCTGTCTCTGTGACTATCATAAATTAAAATAAAAATAAAAATTAAAAAAAAAAGATGAAGATCGAATCAAAGCGTTTTTTTTTAAAAAAAAAAAAAAAAGATTTTTGCTTCTAGTAAATGATGTGGCCCCCAGCACTATTGCAGGCCATGGGACCCAGAATCCACACTGTTAGGGGCATTTCTATACCAAAACATCTTGTGTAGAAATAGAATATTAAACATTAAGGCGTGGCACAATTATTTATTTGACTTTTAAAATCATCATTTTAAAGTCTATTTCTGGGGTACCTGGCTGGCTCAGTCGGGTCATGATCCTGAAATCCTTCTGTGACTCTCCACAGCTGACAGTAAAATCCATACTCTTAGGATGATCCATACGGCCTTCTGTAACTGGATCCCCAGATATTTCTCTAGCTCAACATTTACATATACTTCATGCAAACCCAGTTCTGAATTATTTCAGTTCCTCAACATGCCAGGCCCTTTCTACCCTCCCCATCTTTGTTCTTGCTGTTGACACAGCCTGGAACATACTCTTCCCAAGAGGCAGATTTCTCAGGAGCCAAGGAAAACTTACACTTCATGTCACCTTACTTATGTGCTCCCCCACCCCAGGCCTGCTACCTAATTTTGTATTTCTAATTCTGCATTTTAGGCAGCCCGGATGGCTCAGTGGTTTAGCGCCGCCTTCAGCCCAGGGCGTGATCCTGGAGATCCGGAATGGAGTCCCATGTTGGGCTCCCTGCATGGAGCCTGCTTCTCCCTCTGCCTGTGTCTCTGCCTCTCTCTCTGTGTGTCTCTCATGAATGAATAAATAAAATCTTAAAAAAAAAGAGAGAGAGAGAGAGAGGGCGTTTTAATTGTATACATGTTAGGCCCCATAAACCTGAACCTTGCTCTTCTGCTCCCCCTTCCCTCTTCTGATTGGACTCATTTAGTTTATTGGGATTGATCTTTCCAATCCAGCTATCCCTCATTCCTGGATGGATGAACATATATACATATAGCACCTCAAGGGCCTGTGTTTACCTTCAGTGCAGCACTGTGACAAATTGTTTGACCAAACTCCAGCCAGGCTCCTCTTGATCTCTCTTCTCATCCAGGCCTCAACCCTGTCCTATAAGAACTACAGACTCTCAACACAAAAAATGATTTTGTTCACCTTCTCCCCACATTCAAAGAATTAAACAAACACTAATATAGCTTCTAACAAACCAAGGGCACATCCCTAGGATGACCCTACTCCCTACCTACCCTCCTTAAAGTACTTGCCTGAGAAAGCTGAAGGCTGACAAAAGAATTGACTATTTGTTCTAACCAATGCCTGACAATAGGCATCAGACCTAGCCTTTCTTAGAGCATTTACTAAAGGGGTCTTACAAGTGTAAATTCTTCCTCTGTCCCTTTGAGATATATAATTTCTACATCTACATGTCTGTCTATCTGTATATTTATCCATCTATATCTGTTACAACTAGGATCTGAAAGCTATTTCTTTAAAGTGTAATAATGAGGAAGGACAGGGCCACTCTCTGGGAGGACAGGATCCTAACTCTATGATTGACAACTGGCAGGCACAGCTAGCCTAATCAGCATTTACACTGACCAACTTTGCATTTCTCACTTTGCTGACCCTATTGAGCCCCTACTCATCCCACTCCCTGCTCTCTCATTCCCCTCTAACACAGTCACCTCTGTACAAATTGAGTTCACCCTAGACCCTCTTCCCTACTATAATAGTATATTACAATTAAAATATGTCCTCAACTACTTCAGTGTCTGGTTTTTTGTTGTTGTTGTTGGTTTTTTTTTTAATCTTTAAAAACTGAGTATATTGGACTATAATATCTACCTGCTTGTCTTTTTCAGTGATCTCTCTGAAGGCACGGACTGTGTCTTTGACCTCTGATTACTTCCACCTACCCAAGACCTAGATGTGCAACACAAACTCAGTAAACATTTGATGAATTAGTGATTCAGAGGAGACCCCAGAACGTGGCCTGTGCAAACAACCACAGTGAAGAGGGAGAGCTATGAAGACAGAGGAGGAGGCTCTGGGGAAAACTTGGCATCTCAAGGTTGGAAAAAACTTTAATTATTGTTTCCATAAGTTTATAATAATACATATTTAAGTCATTTGTGGAAATGAGTAACTGGCGAGTCTACTCACCAAGTTAATTCTGTGATGAGAGACAAATGAACAAGGGCCAGACCATATATAAAAATAGAACTTTGACCTACAATCTATAGCAACCAATCCAAGAAGCCAAGCCACTACCTGTCGAGGAAGTCAAACTCTATCTGTAGCATCCAAGCCAGGAAAGCCAAGCAACCTCCATAGCAATCAGCCCAGATAGCTGATTTGGTTAATAAACAGACAGCTTCAGTTAATTAATTAATTTTCTCACACACACACACACACACACACATCCTTCCAACTTAGGACCATCCAGGGAAAGCCAAATGTGTACCCTTAACCAATCAGACATGATGCCCCACACCTACTTGACCCACCTACAGCTGTCCCATATCAACAGCCTACAATCAGGGCACATGGAAGATCCAGAGCCTTCCCCTTTTTCACTCTAAAGTTTTCCCACTTCCCTGCCTGCCTCTGGGTGACTACAAAATGGAAATGGTGGCCGACTCCGTTGCTAGAGCAAGCAAGCTCTGAATGAATAGCTTTGGCTTCTCATTTGGGTGGTCCTCGTTTATTTCCACAGTGACTTTGTTGGACTCTTTGTTGAAATACTTGTCATGTTCTTTGTACCTTAAAGGAGATCTTTTTACCTGGGAAGTTCCTGTCACCCTGTCAAATGAAGGAAACTACCAAGAGGAAGTATTTGGGCTGAATTGTATCCCCTGCAAATACTTATGTTGAAGTCCCCAGGACTTCAGAATGGGATCTTATTTGGAAATACAGTTGTTGCTGGTATAATTACTTAAGATGAGGTCACAGTAGAATAGGGTGGGCCCCTAATCCAGTCTGTTTTTATATAAAGGGAGATTTGGACACAGACCTGCAGACACAGAGAACAACATGTGCTGGATGCAGAGATCGGAGTGACATGTCTCCAAGCCAAGGAAGTCCAAAGATCACTATCAAACTACCAGACACCAGGGGAGAGGTCTGGAACAGATCCCCCCTACCCCCGCCCACCCTTAGAAAGAGCCAGCCTGCTGACATGTTGATCTCAGACTCCTAGTCTCTAAACAGTGAGACAATGCATCTCTGTTTTAGCCACCCAGTTTGGGGTAGTTTGTTACAGTAACCCTAGCAAACTAATACAGACATGAGTTTTTGAAAAGAGTAGTTTCAACCTGAAACAAAGTGCAGTCTTGTCTTCAAGTGCTTGAAATATATAGACCACAGATATATGAGCAAGTAGATAAATAGGCAAGATGCAGTTCTGCAGGGAGCTTCAAGCCATGGGAGTGTTCAGTGATTCACCCTCCACCACAGGACGCCCAGGCAGCCTTCCTGCCCCAACCTGTGCCCCATCAAGCTCTCCTCTCCCACACCACATAGGACCTGCCCAAGAAAGGTCAAGGGGCTAGAGTCTTTCCTTGGGAGATGCTACTTGAGTTGATAGATGGCAGCCCCAGGGTCACATACATCCTGTGCACCCTACGAAGTCACAATTCCATCCAGACTTATCTATGTGAGAGCTGGGAGCAATGGGGGTGGGAGATGTAGAAACCCAGGTTTCTCATATAAGTTGTGGGACAGCAGGAAGTCCCTTCTCGGGAATCCCACACACACCTGTGCCTTGTCCCGGCCCTGCCCTGGGGGCTCTGAACTTGCTTCCCTTACCCACCTGCCCCCTGACACTGCTAAGCCAGAGTCCTGCCTGCAGCAGGAAAGGAATGTGAAGTGTTTGAGAAGCCAACACAGGGT